CTTCAGAAAGTCAACATGCCTTGGGCATCCTGAAAACCTGCCGCCCTAACCTCTGCTGGTGGCGACTGAACCATTTCTGCCTCCTGGAAGTCATTGCGTTGATTGTGCCATGTCTTCAGGATGGTACTGGGAAATTCACGCTTCATCTCCTGTTAGAATTCTTCAAATAAATACTTCAGTATCTTGATCCCATTTGTTTAAAATTTCTATCAAAAGCTCAGCTCTTGTCTGCAGTGGATCTGGATGTTAACAGTTTTGGCACCCACGGAGTGCAAAGTTTGCTCAATTTTAATGTTTCAGTCAGAACTGTGTAAGTGGAACCGGTTGAGAGGTCTATGATGTTGGCTGTTCTTTGCACTGTTAATTGATGGTCCTCTTCAATTAGGGCATGAACAACTTGATGCAGATGGTTTGCCACTATGGGCTTCATCTTCAGCATCATCTCATCCATTCTTAAAATGAGTTATTCACCATATGTAAACTGATTTCTTTAGGGCACTGTCCCCATAAACTATTCATAAGCATCAATGATTTCACCATTCATTCACCATAAGCATCAAACTTCACCATAAACTTGATGTTTGTTCTTGTTTCCATTTTAACAAGTTATGTTGCTCTGATAGAGGCTCTTTTCAGGCTGTCTTATCCTTCTTAGTGCCTCAAACTAGATCCTGTTAAGAAAGGTTATAACGAACTAGTAGGACTTTATTTTTATGCCAGACATTTTTGAAATCCATGTATAGCTTTTTCATAATAGGTATGTCCATGAACTTTTTGAAGCTCTTTTTCTCCCTAAAATGTTGCGGCATGCGGTGGGATTAAAATCCACCAGTAGGTACATAGAAAAGCAAGACACACTCTCTTCTCAGGACACTGCGGACAGCTCTGCCATGTGACACCTCTCTTCATATCAAGATTAGGACTCCTTTTCTTCTAGAAGTGTCCAGCAAGTTTCTGCATTTGCATTTACGGAGTCACAAGGCTGCAGATGGATTGTGAACATACTATGGGGTAGTGCCTGCCCAGGGCTGACCCAGCTCCCTGGATAACCATCACTTTACCTGCCTGTGGTGAGCCTGGTCTAGGCTACACTGACCTTGAGGTATCAAGGTCAAAGGTATCAAGGAGATGTGGAGTTTTAGGTTTTCTAGGGGAATCTGCATCCTTCATCTCAGTAGTGCCATTCTGTCTGTCCTCTCCCCCAGGATCAGAAGCCCTTCCTCTGTTTGAGGATCCCCTTCTATCTGATGAGGCACAGTCCCACCACCCCATTCAAAAAGCAAGGAGGCCAGTTGCTGGCTTTTCCAGTCTCACTCACTTGCAGCTAGAGCAAGGCAAGTGACCTGGCAGCATGTCTTGAATGTTACAAGCTTGTGCCTGAGGGAATGGGCTGCAGAGAAACGCTTCTCAAGAAGCCTTGGCAGCAGGCAGGCCCACTTTGGGAGGCAGCATTGGGTGTGCCTCCAGGGCCGTTACAGCGTCCAGTATTGAGGTGTGGGCAGCACCCACTTCCGTCTCTGTCACCTTCATGAGCCTAGTCCTGCAGCCTGCTCTTGGCAGTTCCTGTTTGCTTGGCCTCTGAGCCCAGTTCTCCGGTTTCTTAATGCTGCCCTATATCTGGCTCATTCATTCCTTTGGGCTTACAGTAGCCAGAGTCAGGTTCTGAAGCTCTCAGACAAGAACTCTGAGATCTGATTATCCAGCCAAGATGAGGACTCCCAGACTGGCCACCAAGCGTCACCAGCTCATACGCATATGGCTTTAACCTAGTGAGCTGAGCTGAGTGAGAGGGTGAGGCACTGGGCCAGGTCTACGGACTGGGGACAAAAAAATTGTCGTGAGGATGTGTATTAAGGCAACCTAGGGAATGAGGAGACAACTGAGCAAACAACTGATGAACTGAGATGACGGCCAGGCTTGGTTCTGAGTGACGTCCCTGTAAGGCTGGTTACTGTTTTAAAGATGGCAGGTGCTCAAGTACCTTGGGGTGCTATGGGAATATTCCAGTGGAGAGAAAGCAGTGGAGATGGAAGGAAAGTTCTTGAAGAAGTGAGAAGGAACTGGGATCTAAAGCCAGAAGTTTGGGTTGGCCCGTGACAAGGAGGCAACTATAGAGGTGTAGCTGGAAGCATAGTTTGGGTGGAAAGGGGAGACCGTTCCCATCAGATAACTTTCACTTAATTTTAATTTACTGGCCAGTTTATCAATCCCATCATAATTTTTAAGAGACAGTGTCAGCCGGGCACGGTGGCTCACACCTGTAATCTTACTACTTTTGGAGGCTGAGGTGGGTGGATCACTTGAGGTCAGGAGTTCAAGACCAGCTTGGCCAACATAGCAAAACCCTGTCTCTACTAAAAATATAAAAATTAGCTGAGTGGGGTGGTGCACACCTATATCCCACCTACTCAGGAGGCTGAGATACGATAATTGCTTGAGCCTGGGAGACAGAGGCTAGAGTGAGCTGAGATAGCACCACCGCACTGCATTCTCGGTGACATAGCAAGACCCTGTCTCAAAAAAGAGAGAAGTGGGTGGGGGGGGGGAGAGAGACAGAGACAGACAGTCACAGGGTCTTGCTGTCACCCAGGCTGGAGTGCAGTGGCACGATCATGGTTCATTGCAGCTTTGACTTCTTGACTTTCTGGGCCCAAGTGATCCTCCCGCCTCAGCCTCCCAAGTAGCTAAGACCACAGACACTCGCCACCATGCCCAGCTAATTTTTATGTAGAGATGGAGACTCACCATATTGCTCAGGCTAAAAAACTTTTTAGTAGCCTATTAATTTCCCCCATTTCACAGTAAGATATATCATCATGTGCAGGTGTGTTGTTACAGAAGAATGCATACTCCCGGCTGTTTCCCGCAGTGTCTCAAGATAAGTACCTTTTGCATGAGGATAACCCTGTTCCCAACCAGAGCCTCCATTCTCCAGAGCATTCGCTTCACATTCTAGCTGAAGGGTGGTCCTACAGACAACATCCTCCCACCCCGTACCCACTGTTCCCTCTCTACATTATTCTCAGATGTAACTATGACTTCTTACCTGCTTACCATATCGTGGATGAGACACTTCAGAGGCAAAGGACCCGGACTGGACAAAAACTGGCTCAATGGTTTTTTTTAAGGACATAAATCTGTTCTCCACTCCCTCCTACCCTTTTCCTGTACTTCACAAGGCACTTCCAGGTTTCCACCAGACAGCCATCATCAACAGCCAGCTTCCAGAGAGACCTCGTGCACAGAACTTTCTGTGAACATGAAGAATGTTCTTTGATACCCCTTTGAAACAGCACCAAGATGGGGCAATTAAAAAAAAAAGAGAGATCTCCGTTCAGTGAGTTGACGCTTAGATTCCTAAAATAAAATAGGCTGGGCATGGTGGCTGACGCTTGTAATCTCAGCACTTTGGGAGGCTGAGGCGGGCAGATCATGAGGTCAGAAGATCGAGACCATCCTGGCCAACATGGTGAAACCCTGTCTCTATTAAAAATACAAAAATTAGCTTGGCGTGGTGGCGTGTACTACTCAGGAGGCTGAGGCAGGAGAATTGCTTGAACCTGGGAGGAGGACGTTGCAGTGAGTTGAGTTCATGCCACTGCACTCCGGCCTGGTGACAGAGCAAGACTCTGTCTCAAAAAAAAAAAGGGAAACCTTTTGAGACTTCAGATGGCACAAACAAACCCATTTAGAGCTAGTCATATGTCACTGGCATTCTTAGGGGGCCAGCAAAGCCACCCGCCATGCATGCATTTATCCTGGGAACTCTGCTGCATGCTTTGCTGTCTGCCGCTGTTTCCACGCGGTTCTTCTGAAGTGTCCCAGGGCTCTGTAGTACCCCTCAGGTTGCCCCAAAACCACCACCTGGGAGCACACATGCTCCACTTGGCATGAGTTAAAGAGAAAAATGAAAATGAGCAGGTCCCAGGGCTCTCTAGTACCCCTCAGGTTGCCCCAAAACCACCACCTGGGAGCACACATGCTCCACTTGGCATGAGTTAAAGAGAAAAATGAAAATGAGCAGGTCCCAGGGCTCTCTAGTACCCCTCAGGTTGCCCCAAAACCACCACCTGGGAGCACACATGCTCCACTTGGCATGAGTTAAAGAGAAAAATGAAAATGAGCATGTGAACCCCAGACAACACTGGGAGATTGGGATAGGTTTTTCTCTAACGGTGACAACTACTCACGTACCATTCAGTCTTCAGTTGCCAATTCAAGACTTGAATCTGGGATTTGGTCCCTGCAAAAGTCTGGATTATCAGTGAAGGCCACAGGCACGCTTGGGTCTTTCCTAGGGAAGCACCACAGAAACATCTATGCCCCAGCCATCGGCTTTGTCCTAGTGTGGGACAAGCAGGATTAGAGGGAAATGACCCCGTGACTTTGGGACTCATCTGTACAGTGAAACCTTAGAGTAAACCCATCTCTTCACCTCCCGGAATCCACAGCCTCCTTCACAGAATGTGGATAGCAATATCCATTCACTAATTACATTATTTAACAGCCACCTATTAATTAAGGCGGCATAAATGAAGACATGCACAGAGCAAATGTTGATAAATGTTTGCCACATGTTGGTTTGCCCTATGCAGACGACTATGTCCAAAGCCGCCCTCTCCTGTTAGGTTCTGCAAATTACTCCGGGCTAATTCGGGAACTCAAACTCCCAGTCAACCAATCTGCTGATGAGAGAATATTCATTTGCTTTGACTTTTTCCAACAGCCCGCCTGAAATAAAAGAATGAAAAGGAAACACACTAAAAAGCATGCTCCCTGGACAGAACCACCTTTCAGAACAGCAAGCGGCTGCTGTGACTGCCCCATTACTCTATTCCGCCCCTGCCTCCCCGCCACTGCTCCCTATCTCACACAGCAATCCTGGACAGAGGCACTCAAGGTACTTCCTTCTGGGGAAAATACAGAGCTCTGTCTTCAGTCATTCAGTCAACGTGGGCCCAAGAGTTCCAGAGCGAGAGAAAGAAACCACATGGACCAAGTTCTCTAATATCAAAATAGAGCAATTTATTCAAGACACTGAGTATGATCCGTTGATTCTCTCTTGAAACAAATGAGCTACAACACACGTGATTTTTTTTTTCTTCAAAGAGCGTGAGGGTGAGTACAGGTGGCAGGGAGAATGAAATGGAGGTCAGTGTCATCTGAACAGAATCTGAAAAATGCCAATAGAGAACACGCCTGGCTGTACGTCTGACACAGACAATAAAAACTGCACAAGCCAGAATGCAAAACTTCAGTGAGTGGCGGAAAGAACATTTCTGCATTTGACAAGAAACATAAGCTTTTTTTTTAATGGCGGAAGAAAAGGTTAAGAGAAAAGCAACAAGAACAAAGCAGACCCTTACATTTGACAAAGTGCACTTCACTTGGCTCCATGATCTATTTCTTAGAAAAACTAAAGAAGTCAAGTCCTACGGTGTTGCAAGGGGTCAGAGGGTTTCACCCTGTAACGTCCGGCCCTTTTGGTCCCCCTTGGGGCGGCATCCCTTTCCCAGGTGTGTGCTGGACCTGACTCTCGGTCACTTTGAACCCAAGCAAAGACTCCTGGAAGGTCTGTCGTGCTATGTCTGCTTTCAAGGTCAAGTTTGGTCACTAAGACTTAGGCATTCCTCACCACATTTTAAGAGCTGTAAACAACATTGAACAATAACATTCCACAGGCCAGTTCTTGATTACAGGGATGACTTTACCAATACTCCAACAGCAGAGAGGGTGAGTAGTGGTGTATAAACACTGGAGGCTCCAGAAACAGCTGTCCATGGCATCGTCCTGCTGAGAACAGGGATGGACGTGAAGGGCACTAGCTGCATCTCATGCATGGTTCTGCTTGTGGCCACAGGCTGGGGAAGCCAGGGATGGAGCCTGGGGTCCAAGGCCTCCCAGCCCAGGCTTCTACCTAACAATTTCGATGTGGTTCACATTCATCAAGACTAAAGCCATCCCTCGGGAGAGACCCTGGCTACCGACATTCATGTGAAGATTGTCTGGTGAATCGCTTGTGACACATCCCACTGTCATCCTACAGTCGTTTCTGGTTTGTCAAGCACAAGCCATGTTCTGACGACAGGCTGGCCTTTGACAGCAGATGCTCTGTAGAGATGAGTGCCTTTTTATTTGGGTGGGGTAAAGATGGTGTCATCTGAACCCCAACAAACTGAACCCTAAACTTAACGGAGTCCTTGGGACAAGAAATCATCGCCTCATCCGGGGACACTGGCTATCTTCAAAGATGGGTGCAGCGACTCCACATCATTGTGGTCTTCTTTGCTAAGTGTTTTGGAAACACAGCTCGAATAAGATATTCATCTCGGAACCAGAGCACTTTTTGGTCTTCTGGGGCATGAATGATTCATATACCCAAGCAGAGGCCAATCAATGATCTGAGAATGATCACCGCACCCTGGCTTTTGCAGATGGTCCTGGCACATTGCAAGTTCCATAGGAAGCCCTGGCCCTTCCCTGACGGCTGGGTTTTGGCTCCGCAGACGGACACCACCTTCATGATAACACCGTCTTGCTGCTGGAACACACACCAGATTGCACCTTACCCACTGCTGGTGACACAGCAGCCCCCATGGGCTGGGCCAACTTCCTCAGCCCTTCTGCCCACAGGAAAACCAATGGGAGAAGAGGCCCTCGTCTTTCGGCCTTTTCCCCCTTGCTAATTAAAAAAGTTAGTCAGTGTCACGTTATGATAGCAAGCAGATAAAGGTCACCAGATTCACTGAAATGAAGCTCTTCTAGGAACACAAAGCCTTGTTTAATTTTTTAAAAACAGCAAAAAGATTGATTATTTAGAAAAGATCTTTCTCCTAATCTTCTGTGAGAGAAAGAAATTAGAAAGATGGCAGAAATTATTAGCGACGTTCTACCTCTACAATTTATGTTCAGGACTGAAAATCTTCCTTCTGCATTCATTTTTGTCAGCATTAGACTAAGTGACATGCGAGAGCCCATGTCAGCTCTGCAAGTCTGCTCTGAGAAATGACCAGCAGTCGTTACACGGCTGTGAGAAAGATGGAGCCAACAGGCCAAATCCAGCTGAGCTGTCAGTTTCGACGGCTTCTGCAGTACCTTTTGGTTCTGCCAATGCTCCCCCGGGGCCAGAGGGCACGCGGTTCTTCACTGCTTTCCTGTTGGCTGCCAAGGTGCACACACACCAAAAGATGCAAGGTCCTTCTTCCAACCGGCATGGCTGGGCCTCCCTCACTGGCTGCAGAGCAGTCTCACTGCTGACCCCTAGGACTGACTCTTGTCCACCCAGAGTTTTCCTGACCACCTTTCCTGAGGCTGAGGAGAAAGCCAGGGGCTCCCTCAGGCCCCACCTGCGGCTTTTTCAGTTCTTTTTAAAATATGAATCACACAAAGCTCTCTATGTCTGATGGCCATTTTAAGATTTTAAAATTGTTTTAACATAAAAATATTTTTTTTCAAAAATACTCCAGGCTCTTTCTCTTATAAGTCATTTTTTTTTTCTCCTGTAAAAAGTCCCCCTGCCCTGCCTTCTTACATAAAGCACTTATTATGTGCCAAAGTGCCCTTGAGTCCTAAGATCTGAAGCAAGTATGAGAAAGGTACAGAGGGAGGGAGGGAGAGAGAGCACACCAGCGAGAAAGCGAGCGCGAGCAAGGGGAGGGCAGGGTAGGAGAGGGCGGAAGGGCAAAAGCTGTGTACATGAGATTGCATCTTCCTGTCCACTTGGCTATGTCTCTTGAGGGTGCACTGAAAAAGCAGAGCTCACCAGATAAAAGGGAAAGGCAGAGGGAGGGGGCAGGGAGAGACAGAGCGAAGAGACAACAAGCCCAAGACAGCTTCTATCTCAGACAGAAGGACCCCAGAAGACAGAATTCCAGCCGATAGAAAAACCACCCAATCAACAAAGAATATTCTAGAAAATAGAAAGTGTTGGGATTACAAAGTTGCGTATTTCGGTACAAACTGGTCTTTGAACATCCTTTGCGAGAGCAACTGTAGTGTCCAAATTATTAGGGAAAACAATAAAAAAATCCCAAGGAGGAGGGTTTTTTCCCTTCCCTGTTTGGTTTATCACAGCATTTTGCTTTTTTTTTGGCACAGCTTTTTCCATTTCTTTCCATTCAGCCATCACAGAGCCTGTTCCGGGTGGAAACCAATCTGCATGCCTCGAGCTGGTGACTTCCTGCGTCATGGGCTGAATGTCCTCTGTGGAAACCATTCTATCCCCGTTTGATATGATTTGCTTGCCTTTTAAAAACTTCTTGATAAAGATTACGAAAACATATAGACTCCTGCAGCCAGAGACGAGTTGGTTTCAGAGTATACTTTAACGCAAGTCAAGTTCCTACAGTTTTGGAGCTGATAGAATTGTGTGTGAACAGAGCTGCAACCCTACACATTCACGGCTGGACATTAGAATTCTTTTCTTTTTTCGAGAGTATTCTGTGGTTACTTCCGCAGATCCAAAACACATACCTGGAAGGAAAGACAAAGGACCTGTCATCCTGAGGGCTAACACAAAGACGCCTTCAGAGTACGCTCAAGCCGGCCCGCCACCGATGTTTACCAGTCAGGTTCACTGCAACACTGTCATGAAGGGGCAGAGAAGCTTTCATAACAGACTGACATCTGGATATCAGACCAAGCAAACCCAAGGAAACAGCGCAGAGCAGAAAGGCCAGGTTAAGGGCGATGCTAGGAATTAACAGAGTGGCAGAGACCATTGGCAGGGGTCCCAGAATGGACACCTGCAACCGTGGGGCAGATGACAACACAAGCCCAAGAACATGGCCTCTGACAACATTTGGGGACCACACTGACACTTGGCCGGTGAGCCAGAATGCCCCTTGCCCCAGAGGTCAGGGCAACCTCAAGTCCAGGGGAAAATAAGAAATCCAGATGCCCCATGGGAGGAGAAGAGGGCCCAGGAAACCTGCAGGATGGCCACCAGAGGCCCGGGCTTCATGAGTGACAACTGTGGCCGCCCTGTGCACGGTAGGAGGTTTAGCAGCATCCCTAAGCTCCACCCACGAGATGCCAGTGGCATCCCCATCATACACCACAAAATGACGTTTCCAGCAACAATGCACCACACAGACCGCAGTGGTCCCGTAAGATTCTAACTGTATTTCTGCTGAACTGTTTCTGTTTAGATAGGTCTAGATGCACAGATGCTTATCATTGTGTTCCAGTTGCCTACAGTACTCCGCACGGTCACCTGCTGTCCAGGTTTGTTGCCTGGGAGCAATAGGCTCTACCATACAGTCTAGGTGTGTCACAGGTGTTATTATCTAGGCTTGTGTCAGTCACTCTACAATGTTCAGACAAAAATAAAAGCGTGTAATGACGCATTTCCCAAAACATTCCCAACACTAAGCGATGCATGACTGTAGTGACAACCTACAATGCCTCCAGATTTTGTCTCATGTCCTCAGAGGTACAGAATCACCCTGGCTGAGAACCACCAATTTGACTGAGAAAATGCTGAATAGAAGGACATTCTGGAACGGACAAGGATAAGGCCATTCCCCATTCCCAGATGTGGTACCAACTCAGATGGGATCCAGCCCAGAAGCTTCCTTTGGCACTAGGTAGGCCCTTCAGGACGCTAATGCTGTATATGCCCTGGAGGCTCACTTAAGCATCAGCTGCCCGACTTTACTCTCCCACCACACCCCACTCCCCAGCAAACCAGAGGTGCTGCTTACAGAGCCGTCGGACGCGCTGGCGCCCACTTTGTCTCCTCGGGCGTTCCAGCACACCTCGAAGATACCACCAGTGCCTCGGTAGCTGTAGACAAGATTTCCATTCTGCAAAGCAAAGCAGCCGTCACTTACAACGCAAGGGGCACCTGCAACAGATGCAGGTGTGGAATATGCGCCTCTCCTGCCCTGATGTTTGATCATGAACATTTCTGAGCATAGTGAAATTTAAGGGTTTTCAGGAAGCACTCTGGGGGCTGTGGAGACGTGTCTCTAGGACTTCCCACCACAGGGAGTGAACCTGATTACTTATGTCCACGGAATCCGCCACCACGTTTGCGCGGATTCTTAGGCTGTGCCCAGCTGAGGACTGATGGAGGCGGGAGACCATGGCAGTCATCTCCTAAGACACAGACTCAACTGGTAGGCAAGTGGCTCATGGAGTCTCTATCAGCACGGCTGGGACTTTCTATAGACCTGCGGGTCTCTCTGACTCTTCCTACCCGTCTCGTCTCCTTCCCAGAGGTCAGACTGGCCTCATGGTCTGAGTTTTCCCTTCCCCTCTACCTCCCTCCCTGTTTCCATCACAGTTCTTCCCCCAACAAATCTCTTGCCCATCTAATCCAGTTTTGGTGTTTGTTCCTTGGAGGACCTGAATGAATACAAAATAATGAATACCCGCACCCTAGTAGCAATGAAATCGACTGTAATTCATGGTTAAATGTATTAACATCAATGAAGCTAAAATGTACATATTTTTGGACATTTTAAAAAACAAATGCATAATATACATGTAATGCAAAACACTACAGACCATTGGCTTCTGGATTGAAACAGCATTAACTTGACAAATCTAAGAGGCAGGGGAAGCAGAGGGTTTTGAAAGAGTTGAATAAGGCTGGGCGAGGTGGCTCACCCTGTAATCCCAGCACATTGGGAGGTCGAGGAGGACTGCTTGAGCCCAAGAGTTCGAGACCAGCTTGGGCAACATAACGAGACTTCACCTCTACAAAAATTAATTTAAAAAAATAAAAAAGAGAAAGAGTCGAATAAGCCTTCACTCATGATTCATTAATGGTGACAAGCAGGAGAAATCTGAAGACTGAGACCAGTAAGGCTGTCCCAAATCCTCTGCTCAACCAGGCTCCTTAAAGGGCAGTGTTCTATGAACAGAGAGAGATGCATGCCAGCAGTATTATAGATAAGTATTTTTATACTTACAGAAAAATGAAGTGTAATCTTTAAGATTTCTCTTAAGAAAAATCCTAAGGATTTCTTAACTGGGTACAGTGGCTCATGCCTGTAACTCTGGCACTTTGGGAGGTCGAGGCGGGTGGATCACCTGAGGTCAGGAGTTCGATACCAACCTGGCCAAAATGGTGAAACCCCATTTCTACTAAAAATATAAAAATTAGCCGGGTGTGGTGGTGGGCACCTGTAATCCCAGCTACTCCAGAGGCTGACGCAGGAGAGAATCGCTTGAACCCGGCAGGTAGAGATTTCAGTGAGCCAAGATGGCGCCACTGCACTCCAGCCTGGGCAATGAGAGTGAAACTCCATTCTAAAATAATAATAATAATAAAAATCCTAAGGGTTTCTTCGATTTATAAAAAAACGGTTGAAACAATTCAGTGAGTTCTTGACAACGGGCTGTACCTAACTGATCATGTCCATGTCATTTTTTGATGATCGATGTCTTTTTTAGAAATGCACCCATTACAATTTCTAGCAAGCATTTCATCAACAGAGACTCTTGCACCCTAGTCCTGAGGTGTGTATCCTAGAGGGTTATCTAGGGCTGTGGGGCTGGGCTTCACATCAGGTTGACTCTATGCAGGGTCCACATTTCCTTCCCTGCCCTGAGAATATGTGGTTCACGTGAGTTTCTGGGGAAGCCTGTGATCTCAGTGGACACCTTGCCAGTGAACAGGGCTCATCGCCCATGAGCCACAAGGGTACATGAAGTTCAGGATGCAAATCCCCCTGAATGTCAGCCAAGCCAAAAGGAACCAAGAAGGCAGTGCAGATGAAAGGGGGCGGGGGAAGGCTGTGTAATCCCTCTGTCCTGAGGTTAAAGGGACCCCCTCCCCATTATTTTCAACAGCTCCTAGCGTATCAGCACTTCTCTCTTCCCTTAGAACGGAATCCAGTACTGACTGCCCTATGCAATCCTTTATGCTCTGCAGCACTACTTCCCATCCATTTCTACTCTTTACAGGTGGAATTCTCCTATCCTCGGGTATGGCCCCAGACACCCACAGCAGCCACCTTCACTTAAATCCTATGTCCTTTCAGTCCCTACTAAAAGGACAACCCAATATTGACATTTCTTATGTCCTCAAACAGAAACTACTTTCATTTTAAAAATTAAGGCTGGGTGCAGTGGCTCACACCTGTAATCCCAACACTTTGGGAGGCCAAGGTGGGCAGATCACCTGAGGTCAGGAGTTCAAGACCAGCCTGGCCAAGATGGTGAAAACCTGTTTCTATTAAAAACAAAAATTAGCTGGGCATGATGGTGGGTACCTGTAATCCCAGCTACTGGGGAGGCTGAGGCAGGAGAACTGCTCAAACCCGGGAGGTGGAGATTGCAGTGAGCTGAGATTGTGCCACTGCACTCCAGCCTGAGCAACAGAGACACTGTCTCAAAAACAAAACAAAAACAGAAAAGAAAAATGGAAGTGGCATGACAGCTGTAAACACGTGTTTCTTCCCACTCCCTGTTCTGCTTCATGGCGAGCTGCAGGAGCTACTGTGGGCAGAGGATGTGGAGCTGCCTCGACCCCATTAGCTGGTCTCCCAAACCCACCCTCCAACCTCAATATCTAGAGAGCAGCATTTCGGTGATAACCGCTATGAAGAGGAAGAGGCAGGTGGAAGGTTTCGTGCCATGGACTCTGAAAAGTGAAGACAGTGGCTCCTTCAAGGAAGAACATCTGCCAAGGTGAGGGCTTGGGAATCAAATGGCCAAGAGCCCTGAGGAGGGTAGACACGACACCCTTCCTCAGGAAGGGGAGCAGCCAGAGGTGTCTGGTAGGGGAAGAGCCCACAGCCTACATGGGGTGCATGGTGGACAGCATCCACTTGGTCAGCCCGGGGAGCCTGGGCGTGCTCACCTTCCTCCAGGGCACTGCTCTGAGGCAGGGGCACTGGAATCGTGGCTATTTGTACATCCCTTTCTAAAAGGCTTCTGTGCAGGGGTCAGGAGCTTACCTGAGTATTCCAGATATGGACACACTTGTCAAAGGATCCGCTGGCCAAGTACTTCCCATCAGGGCTGAAAGCTACGCTGTAGACAGGCTCCTGATGCTTCGTGAGCGTGTGGATGCAGACGCCTCGCTCCACGTCCCACAGTCTCACGGTAGAATCAAACGAAGCACTAGCAGTGGGAGAGAAGGCAAAATCACAAACACACGGCGGTTTCTAACAGTTCTCCATAACGTAGATCAGATCTCTAGGAGCTGTTTTTCCCAGCCTTTATATTTCAAAAGACAATCAACTGAGGATTTTGTCTTCTAAAATGTAACTCACAAGTATTAAAAAAAGAGCCATGGTCATTAAACAAAGAGAAAAAAGTTGTAATGTTATTATTAGAGAGACAATTGGATATCCACACTTGTTTCTGCACTTTTGTTTCTGAGATGGGGTCTTACTGTGTTGCCCAGGCTGGAGTGCAGTGGCATGATCCTAACTCACTGCAGCCTTGAACTCCTGGGCTCAAGGAGTCCTCTTGCCTCAGCCTCAGCCGAGAAGCTGCAACCATAGGTCCATGCCCAGCTCATCTTTTTTTTATATTTTGTAGAGATGGGGTCTCACTATGTTGCCCAGGCTGGTCTTGAACCTCTGAGCTAAAGAGATCCTCCTGCCTCTCCCAAACTGTTGGGATTACAGGTGTAAGCCACTGCACCCGTCCCTGTTTCTGAGTTTTCTATAGATATAAATGATAAGCATTTTTGTAGAATATTTACCAAGTTTCCTAAAATGTCCCTACAATTTAAAACACGATATCTACTATTATAAACTAAATTAATGCAGATAGCCATATTTGGAAAAACAGCAAAATCAGTGAATAAACATTTAAAACACTTTTTAGGCCAGGTACAATACACCATGCCTCTAATCCTAGTGCTTTGGAAGGCTGAAGTGGGAAGATCACTTTAAGCCAGGAGTTCAAGACCAGCCTGGCTAACATAGAAAGACCTGTCTCTAAAAGGAACAAAAAATTTTAATCAAACAAGAATTAAAATACAATTATACCCACATATCCATTATTGAAAGCTGCAAATTTTAGTAATTTTCAAATTTAAAACGATAATATCTATCACAAAGCTATTGTCTGGCTTTCTTTCTTTCACCAGGGATGGAGTTTCCCTCTTGTTGCCCAGGCTGGAGTGCAATGGCGCAATTTTGACTCAGTGCAGCCTCTGCCTCCTGGGTTCAAGCAATTCTCCTGCCTTGGCCTCCTGCGTAGCTGGGATTACAGGCAGCCACCATCCCTGCCTAATTTTTGTATTTTTAGTAGATACGGGATTTTGCCACGTTGGCCAGGCTGGTCTCAAATTCCCAACCTCGGGTGATCTGTTCACCTCGGCCTCCCAAAGTGCTGTACAGGCATGAGCCACTGTGTCCAGTTGGGTTACCCCTTTTATGCTCCTAATAGTACCATGTAATGCCAAAGCACCTTCTGAGTCATCACAAAATGACTAGTGTGTAGTACTATCTCACAGTAATTTAAATGGATTTTATGAAAATTACTTGAAATATGAGAATTAGGGCCTATGTGTTCTTTGATTTTTTGGCTCCATCTCGCAGTGGGTGCAGGAATTCCATTCAATCCTTTCTAAGACATGACCTTAATTTGAGCACTGTCAACAAGAGTCTGTGCTGCCTGGCTTGCTGTTCCTAACTGCAGCTCTGCAGTCATGCTGGGTTTTTTTTTCTTCTCTGTCTCTTTTTTAAAGAGACACAGTGTTGCTCTGTTGCCCAGGCTGGAGTGCAGTGGTGTGATCATTGCTCACTGCAGCCTCAATCTCCTGAACTCAAGCAATCCTCCAGCCTCAGCCTCCTCCTGCCTTGGCCTCCCAGAGTGCTGAGATTATAGCCGTAAACCACCGTGCCTGACCGAAAACCACCCTTACCTCAAGGGCAGGTGTTACTCGATAATTCTATCTTGGCCCGTTCAAGGTGAGCTACCACTTCATTTCCTTTGGAGGGCTTTAACATGCGTGTGTGGACACACTTTAGCAAATTTCCTGTTGTCTTTGTGTAGCACAGAGCTGTACCGGCTGTGCTGCCTGCCCTTACCTTGCCAACATAATTTTGGAGTTTGGGTTGCTGGTGGCGGGCCCGCTGGGGCTCCACTTGATGGTGTAGATCTCTTTGCTGTGAGCCTGAAGATCGTGGACACACACCTCCTGCTTCATGCTCCAGATCTAGAAGACACACCAGCCACAACATGAGCAAAAGCCATTCCTGCATCCGGGAACAATGTGGCATCATTCTTCCCAGGCACACACCTATGACTGCTGGCCCATGGTGGGCGGGGGGTGCACAGTGGTGAAAAACGCTGTGGGGAGGCTGGGATTCTCAGCAAGACCCTGACTGAGAAATCGGAGTTCACGGGATGATACAGGAAGGGAGCAGGGTCAGTAAAAATCTTCACAGAAGAGTGACAGTGAGACTGGTGTCGAGCGCCCAGGGTTGTCTGGAATTAAACAGCCCACCCCTTGTAATGCCAACTCTACCTTCAATGTCATGTCATCCGAGCAGGACGCCAACAAAATTCCAGAAGGATCCCATTTGATGGCGTTGACCTCGTTCTGAAAGAGAAGAGACATGCTGAAAAAGACATCAGGGCCCAAGTAGATGAGGTCACCTTCCAGCAGGGGGCAGCAGCGTGCCACCGTCACTGCAGAAGGTCTTCAGCTTAGGCCTGGCATCAAAGAGCACAGCACAAGCAGCCATCTAGTTTCCTCTTTTTCTCACTTTGCCTTTTTCATATATATAAAACCACAGCCATATACCACACATCACCAGCCACCCTCACCCATATTTCATTAAGAAAAAAACATTCCCTGCTAGGAAGGAAGGTAAGTGAAGAATTCACATACTGTAAAACGCAGCAAATAAAACCAGTTACTTTTAAAACTGGACTTTGAAAATCATTTTCCTATGTGATTTGTTTTATTTCCTGAGACAGGGTCCCGCTCTGTCTCCCAAGCTAGAGTGCAATGGCAGGGACACAGGTCCTCGCAGCATGAACCTCTTGAGCTCAAGCAATCCTCCTGCCTCAGCCTCCCAAGTAGCTGGGACCACAGGCAGGTACCACCACGCCCAACTATTTTTTGTTTGTTTGTACTTTTATAGAGACGGGGTTGCCCAAGCTGGCCTTTAACTCTTCAGCTCAAGCGATCCTCCCACCTTGACCTCCCAAAGTACTGGGATTACAGGCGTGAGCCACCATGCCAGGCCCCTTACGCACTTTGGATGCAACAGCTCCTCCCCATGTCTGTATTCATTACAAGGCATTTCTCTCCTACAGGTGAGTGGAGGCAGATGGAGGGGTAAACGTGAGAAGTGAAGCCTCAGCTATTGTGGAGTTATTCATGGTAAGGGCTGATCCAGGTGGAAGATGGGCGACCAAACTGCACATACAGGCAGACACACATGTGCAAGGAAAGCGTGAGGCAAGTGCTGAGTGGCACGTGCGTGTGCGCGTGCGCACGCGCGCGCGCACACACACACACACCACAGGCAAAATCCTGGTTGGGGGCTCATGATCGGCACAGCCAGGCAGCGAAAAGTGCAGAGGGAGCGCTCTAACCCGGAGGCTCAGGGCACACACCTGGGACAGGTGTGCGTAAAAGTAGCACCTGCTGCAAAGGCTCAGCTGGGGAACAGCCTGCCCAGGAGAAATAAGGGGACAAGACATGCCAGCTCAGGGCTCCCTCGGGGGTGACTATAGGGCCCTGTATGTCCAGTATAGTACCACTATTTGACACCTGCTGTCCCAGCCTAACAGTTAACTAATTTCACACACACAATGAATTTTCTAAATTTCACACTTCTAAGGGCTCCAAGTTGGATGATAAATTGTATGGTCACGCTGGTTTCTAAAGACAGAGTTTTGAAGGGTGTGAACTGGACAGTGACAAGGCCACATCTGTGTTCCATGAGGCACAGGTGGCCCAGGAAAGGGAGGAGGAAGAAGCTTGGCAGCCAAGGAGTAGGCTGCCGCAAGAGCCTGGGAGGGTGGAGGGGGCTGGCCAGAGAGGGGGCTGGGGGTGTGAGTGCACGCTCACGAGTGCGCGCAGGTGTCTATGAACGTGCATGTGTGTGCAAGGCCAGAGAAGGTGGCTCTGACTGCAGCTGTTCAGAGGAAAACCCACGGGCCCGGGAATATGAATCTGGTCACTGCAAGCTGTCCCTAGCCAAACCCATGCAAAGGAACAAATAACTTCCTGGGAGTGGACCCCTCGTTCTGCAATGCAAGGCCCAGTTCCTGGGCCGTCTCCAGAGCCGGCTCATGGGTCTCCACTTAACCCCCTGAGCTGGAGCTTTGTTTAGGGCCATTGGCTGCATTAAGACCCACTTAAAGGGCCAATGCCTGTGTGCTGGAGGCAAGGTCCTGGGCAGGACACCTGGGAACCACAGATAGTGTGTGCAGCTCTATTAAAAACCTACGGATAGTCCAGGGTTAGAGGAGAAATAGGTTTAGATGAGAAGAACAGAGTCAGTGTGGACCCAAACAGATGTTAGGTGCCTGTGCTCTAAAAGTGCCTTCCTTTGGAACAGGGACCCCTGGGCCAGGGGCAGAAAGGGGGGGCACTAGGGGAACGAGGACAAGGGAATTTACATTAGTTAAGTTAGTGGCAGGATGGCAAATATCCAGGGACTGTGATCATCCTCCCCTGCTTTAACAGGGGACCCTCCCCCGACTGTGGAAAGATATTCTGGGTGCTGGTGAAAAAAGGCAAGATGTCATGGACCCAGCGTTGGTGTGCTCTGCATTTTCTGGGAGAGGCAGACACGCAGGCCAGCAGCTACTGCCAGGCTGTGGCATTCACGTGGGCAGTGGGAGCTCAGGGGGTGTCATTAATCCTCCCCAGGGCATGCAGAGGACCTGTGAACGGGCCTGGAGGGTGGGGAGGATTCTGTGTTGGAAGGAGAGCTGCTGTGGGGTCTAAGGCGGGGAGCATTTCAGGCAGGGCTCAGCGCAGGGCAAGGTGCTTGGCTGCATGTGTCTTTAGGAGGATAGAGAGGCACAGGGCATTTCTGGACACCCAGGAGGTTGAGGGTAGGAAATGGGTTTACCAACAGATTGGAGATTGCAGAAGGTTAGAGACCATAGGAATAGGCTAATCAGAGAGATTTGGTAAAAGACCCAGAAGTACTTCGAAGGCCACGCTAAGGAATTTGCTAAGTCAGCTGTTGTTCACACTGTTGTTCCCTGGGATATAATTTTTTTTTTCCAGCTTCTGCTTGCCTTTAGAATTTTCTCTGCCATTGATTCTGGTGTTTGATGACCATATGCCTAGGTGGACAGCGTGGTTCCGTTTGTATTTGTTCTGCTTGAAATTTGCTGAGCTTCTTGGATTGAATATTGACCTTTTCCACCAAATTTAGGAAAACTTGGCTGTTACTACCTCAAATGATTTTTCTGTTCCATTCTTTCTTCTCTCCCCATCAAGCGAATAGGTTTAGGGTGCCTGATACTGTCCCATAAGCCATATTGCCTTTATGCAATTTTTCAATCTTTTATCTGTTCTTCAAAATGGCCAATTTCTATGATCTCTGACCTTACTTCTGCAATCTCCCATCTGCTGGTAAACCCATTGATGTGCTTTAGATCTGTGTCCCCACCCAAATCTCAGGTGGAACTGTCATCCCCGATGCAGAGGTGGGGCCCGGCGGGAGGTGTCTGGATCACGGGGGCAGATCCCTCATGGCTTGCTGCGGTCTTCATGAGTTCTTGTCCTTTGCAAGTGCATGGCACCCCCCCTTCCCCACCTCTGGACCCTGCTCTGGTCATGTGAGGTGCCTGCTCCTTCAACTCCTGCCATGGCTAGAGGCTTCCTAAAGCCTCCCCAGAAGCAGTTGCTGCCATGCTTCCTGTACAGCCTGAGGAACTGCGGGCCAGTTAAACCTCCTGTCTCCTAAATTACCCACTCTCAGGTATTTCTTCAGAGCAATGAGATAAATGAGAACTGCCTAACACACCCTATTAAGACTTTCATTTCAGACATTGTATTTCTCAGTTCTCAATTTCTTATTTTTTATTGTTTAAAGAGACAGGGTCTTGCTCTGTTGCCTAGGCTGGAGTGCGGTGGTGCTATCATAACTCACTGTAGCCTTCAACTCCTGGGATGGGACTATAGGTGTGCATCATCCTACGCCGCTACTTTTTAAAATTTTTTTGTAGAGATAGAGTCTTGCTACGTTGCCCAGGCTGGCCTCAAACTCTTGGCCTCAAGCAATCCTCTGGCCTCAGCCTCCCAACGTGCTGGGATTACAGGCATAAGACAGCGCACTTAGCCTCCTTTTGTTTTTTAATGACATAGTTTTTTCTGTTCACTGCGGATTCGCCCCATCTATTCATTTATTGTGAGTGTCGTTTCCTCTATGTCCTCTACATGTTTCTCATGCTACCTTAAAGGCTTTGCTGCCAAATCCACCATCTAGGTCACTTCTGGATGAACTGTTCTTGCTGCCCACCCCAAACTGGGTCAATCCAACTACCATGGTTACCACGGGGTAACCATGGCAGCTCAAATAGCCAAAGGCCGCAGAGGAGCTGGTCTGCTGCTGCAGTATCTTTTAATTCTAGGCACACAAGAATTGGCTCCCACATCACATTCTCACGAACTCGAGTCCAGTGACGAGAGCTCTCACTTACTGTGTGTCCTTGGAAGGTTTTGACTGGGCGTTCACAGCCGAGCCTGCACACATGGATACACATGTCTGTGCTACAGGAGGCAAAGGTCGTGTTGTTCTGCCAGTCCACATCAAGGGCAGGGGCTGCAGCAGGGAGGGAGGACATCTGCAGTTATTCACTGTGTGCACAGCTCCGTGGATTTACAACAACGAAGAGCACAGTCAGGAAGCCTTTTTAGTTTACTTATATATTTATTCTAGAGACAGCCTGCTCTGTCACCCAGGCTGGAGCATAGCGGTGTGATCATGGCTCACTGCAGCCCAGAATTCCTGGGCTCAAGGGATCTGCCCACTTCAGCCTCCTGAACAGCTGAGACTATAGGCGCACACCACCAGACCTGGCTAATTTAAAGAAATTTTTGTAGAGACGAATTCTTGTTATGTTGCCCAGGCTGGCTTCGAACTCCTGACTTCAAGCTATCCACCCGCTTCAGCCTCCCAAAGTGTTAGGGTTATAGGTGTGAGCCACAGCGCTCACCCAAGCAGCCCCATTTAATAACATGATAAAAACGTCTCAAGTGTGAACAGTCTCCTTTCTAAGAACTTAAAGACCCTCTCCTGCCATGCTGGCAAGAATGACAAGATGTCCTGGGAGAGAGGCTCCGTGCCACTTCCTGAACCCCATGGCCTGCAGAATCTCCCGCTCCCATGGCACAGGTAAGAGAGTCTGCCTGCTCTGCACCTTGCTGCTCCCAGTGATATCTCTGCGGTGAGTTAATTTGATTCGATTTTAGTCAGAGAGGAGAAAAAAGGAAATATTCATGTTCTATGTTTGGGATACCTCAATAGGAAAAAACTCTCTGATAACACATTAAGGCATCCCCCTGGCTAGGGGATAATTAGAGTCAACAAGAACCCCTTTGAATCTACCAATATGGAAACTCATGTGAGTTTTTATTTTTCTTAGAGATGAAGTCTTGCTGTTACCCAGGCTGGAGTGCAGTGGTACCATCATAGCTGACCGCAGCCTCAAACTCCTGTGCTCAAGCAATCCTCCTGCCTCGGCCTCCCAAGTAGCTGGGACTACACGTTTGTGCCACCACTCCTAATTTTTTGAGACAGGATCTTGCTCTGTCACCCAAGCTGGAGTGCAGTGACACAGTCTTCGCTCACTGTACCCTCAATCTCATGGGCTCAGGTGATTGAGATTCTCCCACCTCGGCCTTCCTAGTAGCTGGGACTACAGGTGCATGCCACCATGCCTGGTTCATTTTTCGAAGATGTTTTTGGTAGAGGTGGTGTCTTGCAGTTTTGCCTTGGCTGGTCTCAAACTCCTGGGCTCAAGTGATCCTCCCACCTTGGCCTCCCAAAGTTCTGGGATTACAGGAATGAGCCACCGCACCCAGCCATGTCTGTTTCTTAAAGGCAGTCAGCACTGAACTGAGAAAAATCCAGCTTTCTCTGAATATGCTAACCGTCAGTTGCCCCTGCCCTTCATTGGTCTTTAAATTAAGAGGTGCAACCCTCCATGTATTTATCCTCCTCAGTCGCAGGGACCCCATTCGCTTCCCCATCCAGCTCCATGCCCAGGCAGAAGGTGTGGCTGGGACAATGCGGGTGTCAGCAGTGGTCTTTTCCGCAGCTGAGGCCATCTCTCACGCTCCTCCCCAGCTGCTGGTTTCATGGCAGCCTCACGATTCTTGACCCATTTTCTTGGTTCTTGTTTACAACATCGCCTGAGCCAAACGGCAAACTTCTGGTCCAGCCTCTGCATTTGGGCATGTGATTAATACACCTGGAAATGTGACAATCTGGCGAGTGGTCCAGGAGATTGCCACCAGCACCTCCATCTAAAGCAAGCTTGTTCGACCCACAGCCCATGGCCCAGGATGGCTTTGACTGTGGTCCAACACAAATTTGTAAACTGTCTTAAAACATTACGAGATTTTTTTTTCCAGCTCATCAGCTATTGTTAGTGTTAGTGTATTTTATGTGTGGCCCAAGACAATTCTTCTTTCAACGTGGCCCAGGGAAGCCAAAAGATTCGACATTCCTGATCTAAAGAGAGGGCCCCTGCCCTCAGGTGATTAGCCCTACTGAGTCAGCTCCTGCAGCCAGGATGCTTGGGACCACGTGGGTGAATGGCCAGTAACAGAGCTGAGCTACGCTGGGGGCCTCTGTGCCTGCCTTTCCATGCATGGGCCAGTATGGGTCAATAGCCCTCATTCTTCTGTACCCAGCCAGACATTTTCCTTTTGAAATACTTAGAGGTTTACAGGAAGCTGCAAAGGTAACACAGAGAGGTCCTGTGTCTCCTTCACCCAGGTTCCCCTAAGGGTTACATTTTGTGTAGCTGTAGCATTGTATTGAGACTGGTAAGTTGACACCGGTGCAATCTGCCTATAGAGTGCTGTCATTTTATCACGTGGTTAGATGTGTATCGCTGCAGTTGAGACCCATTAGTGTATAGTCGTCACTAAGGTCTCTCTCAGGCTACTGCATCGGCACACATGCCTTCCTGAACTCCCGTACTGCTGATCCGTCCCAGGTTTCTATCATTTTATCATCATGAGAATGTTACAGAGCATACAACCTTTTGAGACTGGCTTTTGTCACTCAGCAAAATGCCTCTGAGATCTCTCCTGGCTGTCGTGCATCAATAGTTTGCACCTTTCCTCAGCGAGTTCATTTCCTTGGCGGAGTTTCACTCCGTCATAAGGCTTTGAGCTAAGGCTTCCTGCAGACAGTGACCGAGGGTGCCCCCATGAGGCGTTCCTGGGGAAAAGCTAGTGGGGCAAGGCAGTCACCCCATTAAACACCCAGCCTGCTACAGCCACAGAAAGGCGCTCTTCACAGCTCTTCCCAGCTGCGTTTCACTTGGAAAAGTGAGCTTCTTCTCTTGATCTTGAACAGTCTCTAACACACGGAATGCCTAGATACGTCTGACCTGCTGACAGGAATTGGGTCTACCTAATGGCCAGTCAGATTACAGATGAGAAGCTCACACAATTCAGAACAACGAGGTCTGTGGCCTTCCTGGGTCAGCTGGGTAGAAAACCCTTCCATAGGCCCCCTGGGGACACTTTGAGAAAGATTATTTTCTGCTGAAAGACTTTACAGATGAATTCTTAAGATACAAGCGTTAGAGAAACCTTATTGATGTTTACCTCGGGCAGATTTTTCTCTGAAAAACAGAAGCTAGAGCTTTCTGTATCAGACATCCTGCCTCACCCCCTGCCAAGTCTGCATGACTGGGATTCTAGGGCTGTGAACCTGTCACGGCATCCTTCCTGCCTACAAAGGTAGGTTTCGGCATTTAAGCCAAACGTGATGGAACTCCATCGGGAACGGCATTCTCACTAGTCACCTGCTTTAATTTGCCATCTAGAACACAGAGTAGCAAGTGTCTGACGTAGAGATGACACACAGATCACAGGCTATAGGTGGGGTTGCCAGGGACCGGGGGAAAGACGAAATGGGTACAGGGCTTCCCTATGGGGTGAAGGACACTTTCTGGAGGGCCTAGTGTACGTGCTGCTTGCATTGGGAGCCTTTTGTCTCTAATATGCTCAGCACCTTCATCAACAGTGTTCAATTAAAGCAACACCAGTAACAAATTTCACTGGCAGCCTTGAGAGGTGTGTTTGGTGTAGGCCCCAAGCTGTGCAGGGGTGGCCACAGAGGAGATGCTCTCTCTCCAGGGCAGCAGAGCAGAAACACATCCTCCCTGAGTCTTCCTCACTCTCTGATCTGCCTGTGTGAGGAGTCCCCACTGAAGTACTGCATGGAATATAACAGATGTGGGTGCCTATGCATCTGACACAATCGTGCCTCGACACGACCTTTGGCTCCTGATCTTGTTTCCTGCAGGGCCATGTCCCCTGCTTGGAGACCTCCCCAGGCTGTGCTGTCTTGGACAGTCGTTGGGGTTAGCCCTCCCATTCAGAACATCGTTTAAACACCCCAAGCTGCCTGACAAGACACTCAGACCTCCTCCAGGACAATGCCCAGAGACAGCTGATAAGATGGTCAACTTTCACCCTACACATTTAGGGATTCCTTCAAGACAGATCAGGCATTTGCCATTAAGGGAAGTGGTACCTACCCCCTTCTGCCCACTCTAAGCCAGTCTAAAGTCTTCCAATAGTCTATTAGGTCTGTGGGTGGCCATCTGTCTTTGTTTTAAGAGGCCACATCTAACAACAGGACTGAGTTACACAGAGGAGGAAGTTGGGAAATAAAATGAAGAATCATTTTGGGAGACCAAGGTGGGTGAATCACCTGAGGTCAGGAGTTTGAGACCAGCCTGGCCAACATGATGAAACCCCATCTCTACTAAAGATACAAAAATTAGCTGGGCGTGGTGGCGGGTGCCTGTAATCTAAGCTACTAGGGAGGCTGTGGCAGAATTGCTTGAACATGGAAGGCAGAGGTTGCAATGAGCCGAGATCGCACCACTGCACTCCAGCCTGGGTTATAGGGCGAGACTTCGTCTCAAGAAAACAAACAAACAAACAAACAAAACGAAGAATCAGGTGGGAATCTGGAAAATTGGAGTCTCTAGACTCCAGAGCCTGGCTGTCGCATGTGGCCTGGCCTGGCTCCAACGCACACCAGGCATCTGCGAGGGAAGGTGCAGAGCAGTGGCCACGCATCTGCGCAGGAAGGCGCTAACACCACAGGCCCGAGGCTGCTCTCCCTATAGAGGCCTGCTTGCAAGGCTGGCCCTTGGCTAGCGACTGAGAATTTAGATTTCCAGAGCGTTCCCACCCTTCCCTAACAGACACTCACTCTGCCAACACTTGCTTGTGCAAACCATGTGTTTATGCTATGCACCTGCTTTCCTTCTGGGGGTCTGCAGTTTTGGCTTGTACTAGGTACTGGGTGCCTACATGGCCAACCCCCAATAAAAACTCTGGGCACTGAGGCTCTATGGAGCTTCACTGGTATAAAACATGTCACAGGCATAGTCACAACTTACTACTGGAAGAATTCAGCATGGCCTGTGAGAGTCCACTGGGAGAGGAGCCTTCAAAGCTCTGGATTTGGCTGTGCACACCGTTGCCCTTTGCTAAGGTTGCACTAAATTCCTGTGCTGTTAGAAATCTTAGTTGCAGGTTTGCTGCATCCTGGGAGTCCTCACAGCCAACTGCCAATCCTGGGGGTGGTTTCGGGGAGCCCCCAAAATAGCATCCCTCTTAGAACAGCAAGAGAGTGGAGTCTGCACTGCTTCTGTGGCTGGCTCACTGCTGCGTTTCAGAGCTCTGGGCAGGTGGGTGCTGAGGTCATCTGTATCTTGCAAACCTTAAGAGCAATCAATGCTTGCCACAAAATGGGTCTCCTTCTGACCAGTCAGGCCCCTTGGACACTATACTCTGTGCATTCACAGTTACTTCATGGGGCATTTCATATAACTCTAAATAATTTTTATTTATTAGAGATAGGAGCTCATTCTGTCACCTAGGCTGGAATGCAGTGGTACAATCATAACTCACTACAACCTTAATTTCCTGGCTCAAGCAATCCTCCTGCCTCAACCTCCTGGGTAGCTAAAACTAGAGGTGTGTACGACCACACCCAACTAATGTTTTATATTTTTTGTAGACATGGGGTCTTGCTTTGTTGCCCAGGCTGGTCTATAAACCCTGGTCTCAAGTGACCCTCCCATCGTAGCATCCCAAAGTGCTGGAATTACAGGCATCAGCCACAGTGCCCAGCCTAATTTTGAATTATTATTATTAGTTTTTGAGACAGGGTCTGGCTTTTTTGCCCAGGATGGAGTGCAGTGGCACAATCTCTCTGCTCACTGCAACCTCTACCTCCTGGCTCAAGCCATCCTCCTACCTCAACCTCCTGAGGGGCTGGGACTACAGGTGTGCACCACCATGCCTGGCTAATTACCGTATTTTTTGTAGAGATGGTTTTCGTCATGTTGCCCAGGCTAGTCTTCAATTCCTGAGCTCATGCGATCCACCTGCTTCAGCTTCCCAAAGTGCTGGGATTACAGGTGTAAGCCACTGGGCTCATGCTGAATTATTATTCTGAATTACAAAAAACAAACAAAAATACTCACCTGAATGAAAAGGAAACTGCTGTTTGGCTTCTCCTGTGTGGGCATCCCAAATTATTGTCGTCTGTGCTCCGCAAACAAAGGAAAAGGTTAGTAAATATTCTTGCAAAGTTCTCTGGAAACATTTATCATATAAGAAAAATACAGTGAGCCCCTCTCCTTATAAACTGACACTTTTCAATACAGATAGAAAGCGAGCCTCATGGGCTACTTTCAATTTTCTCAGATCCACATTAAAAAGAAAGAAACTGGTAAAATTCATTAGCAATCTATTATATTTCACTCCAATAATACCCCCAAATATTACAATTTCAACATGTAATCAGTATCAAAACCCTGCTGGGATAGTTGCCTTCCTTTTCTCCCAGACTACGTCATTGAAGTACAGCATGCTTTATACTTAACAATCTGGATGGCCACATCTGATGACCTCATCAGCCACATATGCTGGCATCTCCCTTAACTCATTTATGCCTGAGGTTGCAATTTTTGAATTTTTGCAATCAGACCTTGGCGATGACCCTGAGCAGTAGGATATAAATAACTCCCACATGCTTGGTGTTCCAATAATGGAACACTAGGCATAACTGGGTTTAAGGACAGAGCAGCTGTAACCAATACTTGCAAAAACTACCACAATTCACAGGAATTCCTCCTTATCTCTGAATTCAGAAAACTGTTGAAAAACCTGGAGCAAAGCATCTCCAAAGAGCTTTTTGGCATTTTTCCAAGAGAAGGGCTGCAGAAATGAGCATTTCTGAAAGTGCCCCTGCTCATTACTCCATGAACGGGGGACACTAGACATGGCAGAGCCATTGGCTTGCACTGGGGCCAGGCACCAATGTATTCATCTAACAGTAAGTAGAAAGGTGAGTTCTGCCTTGGAAAACAAAGAAAATCATGAATTTTTATGAATTTACTGATGCTAGGAAGACACTTAAGAGAACCAGCTCAATGAATAGCATTGGAATTACGTCTTCATCAACTGGAATTTTCAACTTAATTGGAAACTTTACAACTCTCTGCCAGTGACACATAGTCAAGATTTTGCTTTCAGAAGGAAGAGTTCTATTTTGTGTTGACTGTGGACATTTTCAGAGGAAAGCAAGCAGTGTCTTTGAAACTTGGTACTCCTGGGTTCTGGGTCAGTTCTAGACAAATTAACATTTCTTTGTTTTAACTCTTCTTAATTTAGCCATGCAAAAACAAATCTAACACTGCAGAGAATATATAAACTCTTTTATAGTTCTGATACCATTTCACATATTACATTAATGACTGGGTCTCTTAGTTGACATTTATGTTAAATATACATTGGACAAAAGAAAACAGTTATGCAAACATTTGAGGAATGTGACATATATTTCAGTCACTGTGTATTGGTCAACACCAGCATCCCCATAAGTTAACATTTCCTCCCTATGTGTCATGGACAAGACATTAATTCCACTCCTGCTGTGGCTGACCAGTAATGATGGTGGATCGCACCCAGCCGGAGAGACTAACATATACCACATATGCATTTTCACTGATCACAGAGTCCATCACCTGGTGGAGTTAAGACTGATAATCAGTGAGAAAAACAACCATGAATGTTAAACAGTCTCTAGGTAGGAAGGAGGCCAGGAAACAAACAGCTATTTAGAATTCCACGGAAGTCAAAGGGCAGGAGTTACTGGTGACTTGGGGCCTGAGTTCCCATCCCTCTGCACCAGCTGTGTGTCCCTAGGCAAATTAATAACCCTCTCTGGGCCTCCAGTCCCTCCTCTGTAGAATGGGAGTGATCATACTTGTGCCTGCCTCCTATCCTGGCAGTACTGGATGGGTTAACACAGACAGTAGTGAAGTACTTGATAGAGAAAAGTGCTGTCATTTTCATGAGTTATTTTAATAACTCAAGCAGCAATTACTGAGAGCCTACTGAATGCACAGCAGAGTGCTGCATATGCATGTTACTTGAATTAGAACATCTTGGCAAAAATCTGATAGTAGCTACATGAGAACGTTTATGTGTCAACCACAGCAACTCAGATTTTAAAATATCATAAACCAGCTACTAAGTCTGAAAGGAAGGTTTCCTGGCTTAAAAGAGAGAGACAGCAATTATGAATGAATGATTTGTTGACCTAGTTATACCCTAGTGTAGGAGTCCACAAACTTTTTCTGTGAAGGGCTAGGAAGTAGGAGTTTTAGGCTTCGAGAGCCATCTGATCTCCCCTGCAACTGCTCACCTCTGCCATTGTAGCATGAAAGCAAACATAGAGAAGTCTCAACAAAGGGGTATGGCTGCGTCCCAATAAAACTTTATTTAAATAAAAAAACAGGTGAGGAGCCAGACTTGGCCTGTGTGGGCCACAGTTTTCCAAATGCAATTACAGCTTCTCCAAAAGTGGGATGATGCCCAGAGGTCAAGTCTATCATTTTTTTTCCCCCGAGACAGTCTTCCTCTGTCACTCAGGCTAGAGTGCAGTGTCGCAATGTCGGCTCACTGCAACCTCTACCTCCCAGGTTCAAGCAATTCTCCTGCCTCAGCCTCCCAAGTAGCTGGGATCGCAGGCGCCCACTGTGCCCAGCTAATTTTTGTATTTTTAGTATATGTGGGGTTTTACCATGTTGGCCAGGCTGGTCTCAAACTCCTGACCTCCCGATCTGCCCGCCTTGGCCTCCCAAAGTGCTGGGATTACAGGCATGAGCCACTGGGCCTGACCAAGTTGACCATTTTATAATAATTTTTAGAACTAGAATGAACAGAAAACTTAGTAAGTTTTTTTCGGTTTTTTTTTTTTTTTTTTTTTTTTTTTGGTGTGTGTGTATGTGTGTGAGACAGTGTCTTCCAGATCCAGGCTGGAATGCAGAGGCACAATCTCAGCTCACTGCAACCTCCTTTGCCTCCCTGGTTTAAGAGATTCTCGTGCCTCAGTCTCCGAGTAGCTGAGATTACAGGTGCCCACCACCATGCCCGTCTATGTTTTGCATTTTTAGTAGAGACTGGGTTTGCCATGTTGGCCAAGCTGGCCTTGAAAACCTTACTAAGTCTTGGAGTTCAAGTTATCCTGAAATCATCACAAAATGCAAAGATTTGTGGAGGTCCGAGCATCCTCCAGTATTCATGCATGGTTTCCAGCTGTTGTAGAAACACACACTGATGTGAAAACATGTCTATTTTTTTCTTTTTTTCAATTCTAGATAATGCTTTTTTTTTCCAAAGCCATGACTTAGAATTCCTGCTGAGTCTTGGGAACGCACAACAGTTCCACAAAAGCTGTTTGGGGTCATGACTCCAGCCAGCCCTGTCGCTGGACAAGTGAGTAAAGTGAAATGCACAGAGGCTGAGATTGCTGGTTGAATCGCTCCGGGCTGGGATGGAGTCTGCATCCCCCTGCTCTTTGCCCTTGTGTTCGTTCCCACCCCACTGATGGTTTTCAGATGCACCTGGAGTTAACGCCGCCATGTCTCCCTGCAGCCCTGCCCAGGTGCAGAGCAAGTCAATTCTAATCTGTGGGCCATCGGGAGAGTGTGCCCTTTTACCCAGGTTGCTTGACTCCTGCTCAGAGAAATCTGCAGTCTACGGTGGGAAGCAGCAGTTGATCAAATGAGGAAAGACGAAGCCTGAAGAACATACACAGCCGGTGCCACTTGCCCATCAGTGGGTGAAAGTTCAGGCAGGGCATGCCCCATACCACGTGGCTCCTTCCAGCAAGTGACAAAGGCAATGTGGAGATTTTTCCTCTCTCTACCAACGAACCATGTACCTCAAATAAAGGGAAGTTTTGCACATGGGTCTGCAGAACAGCAGACTATATTAAGAGATGATGTGTTACAAAGTAACAGAAAGCTCAAAACCACAAAAACAAAGCCTAACAAATCCTTTTCATTTCTTTAGGGGAAGCACAAAACCTAAGAGTTCCAAGAAACCATGATGTTATTTTGAGATTAAAAATATCTAACCACCTGTAGCTCAAAGGGATATTTTTTAAGCTAATACTCACTTTGTCCACACCAGCACTCAAAATGTAATTCCCCTTTCTGTTCCATTTCAAGGCAAAGATGGGGCCTTTATGCTGGCCTAAGGTGCTGGCCAGGTTACCTGTTAGTAAAAACAAACATATTGACTTCAGTGTCACAGGCTGTTCACTCAAGGGTTCCATCAGCAGCTCCTCTTACCCAACCCCAGCACGAGGGACACTGGACTTACCATCTTCCGTCCATATTCTTGCAAAACCGTCATATGAACCTGTAGCCAAGAGTGTTCCATCGGTCTGAGGGCCAGAAAGAGACACAAACCCACAAAAACAACTTAGGAGGGGCTCCCAGAGCCTCTCCCGGATCCCAGTACACTGGGACTATTTGCCACTGCGTGTTCCTTAATGACAGAATTAAAAATACCATGCTGAAAGTTATCACAAGACTTTGCAGAAAATAAAAAAGTAGTCAAACTGTGTGCATCCCACATGTCAATGCATATAACCCCTGCTGCTGAAATCCCAAGGTGGGAAGTCACCTTTTCTGGGCTGCACATCATCTTTCTCCAGGAGAACTACTCTGGGGCTTCCAGCCTACCTTCCCACCATGAGGCCACAGGCTCATTTTGCTACAGCATGCTCACATGCAAAGATATGGCTACTGAATACACAGCTCACTGTCTGCCAAATGCAGCCTTGTTAATAGCTCTTAGAAGCCAAGACTGGCCAGGCACGGTGGCTCACGCCTGTAATACCAGTACTTTGGGAAGCTGAGGTGGGTGGATCACATTAGGTCAGGAGTTCGAGAGCAGCCTGGCTGACATGGTGACACCCTGTCTCTACTAAAAATATAAAAATTAGCCTGGTGTGGTGCCGTGAGCTTGAGGCAGGAGACTTGCTTGAACCCAGGAGGCTAAGGTTGCAGTGAGTCGAGATCACACCACGGCATTGGGGCTTGGGCAACAGAGCAAGGCTCCATCTCAAAAAAAAGAAAAGCCAGGACCACCTCTCTGGCAGCCCCTCAGGGTGGGGCTGAGCACAGGGGACTGCCTGTCTCCTGTGTCTGCGTGGGCTCCATCCATCACTGCAGCCCTTGCCTGGTGGCTGGCAGGTTTTACCGATTTCGAAGTGCCCAGGGGGTGGAAGATGCTTACGTTCCAGTCCAGTGAGGTGACATCTTTGTTACTCGGGACGTCGTGGCCCCCTTCTCGTATACAGTGCCTTAACACGAGCTGGGTGGAGCACCCGTTGCTATTCTCATTCAGGTTCCATATCCTTGCAGTTGAGTCTCCGGAACTGCAGAATAAAAACACAGGAGCCTCTGGTGTTTGGTTTAAATGGGAGAAGAAGCTCTCCACTGCTTGCTCTCTGGCCAGATGGCATCTTTGGCACGTGCTCTTCTGTCTTTTTCATACCTCTGGATCCCTGTTTCCCTCCTTGCCTTCTTTGTGTTTGGTAATTTTAAATGCCTTTGTGTTCCTTACCACCCCATGGAGAAAATGACTTGGAACTATGGCTTCTCCACAAAATTGAGACATGCAGAGAAGAGCCGCCCACTCCCAGGTCTGCCCACACTGGGGTAATATGGGGAGTGTGTGTTCCTTAAGGCAGAACCCCAGAGAAAGGGAAGCAGCTCCCATCTCCCCAACCCTGGAGTGCCCCCATCCTGACATCCTTACCCAGATGCAAGCAAATCACTGACAGGGTTCCAGGCACAGATGAACACCTCGGACTCATGGCCCCGAAGGACTGTGGCTTTGTTGGATGGAATCTCAACCTCCCCATCTACTTCCATTGGCTTCACGTGATTATCTGTCATAGGAAACACAGAGAAGTAAGTGGCTTACCAATACAAAAGAAACGCTCTTTTTTTTTTTTTTTGAGATGGAGTTTCACTCTTGTTACCCAGGCTGGAGTGCAATGGCGCGATCTCGGCTCACCACAACCTCCGCCTCCTGAGTAGCTGGGTCTACAGGCACGGACCACCATGACCAGCTAATTTTTTGTTTTTTTTTTAGTAGAGACGGGGTTTCACCATGTTGACCGGGATGGTCTCGATCTCCTGACCTCGTGATCCACCCACCTCGGCCTCCCAAAGTGCTGGGATTACAGGCTTGAGCCACCGCGCCCGGCCGTGAAACGCTCTTAAAGGGTGCTGTGGTTTCCAGAAACATCTTGTTTTTATGTACTAAGTAATACTACCTCTGATGATTCCTTTTCTTTTCTTTTTTGAGGTGGAGTCTTACTCTGTCGCCCAGGCTGGATGGAGTGCAGTGGCGCAATCTCAGCTCACTGCGAACTCCACCTCCCAGGTGCAAGCAATTCTCATGCCTCAACCTCTCAAGCAGCTGGGATTAGAGGTGTGTGCCAAAACACTGGAGTAATTTTTGTATTTTTAGTGGAGACAGGGCTTCACTATGCTGCCAGGGTTGGTCTCGAACTCCTGGCCTCAAGTGATCTGCCTGCCCCAGCCTCTCAAAATGCTGGAATTATAGGTGTGCGTCACCGTGCCTGGCCGACTTCTGATGATTCTAGGGAAATCCTGGCTTTAGTGCAATTTAGTAAATATTTTAGATTTCTTTATATTTTGACAGTTTTTAAATTTTTGAGGAATAGAAACAGTTTGCTCAGTGCAGTGGGTCACACCTAAAATCCCAGTGCTTCAAGAGGCTGAAGAGGGAGGATCGCATGAGTCCAGGAGTTCAATAGCAACCTGGGCAACACAGCAACACCTCATCTCTATAAAAACAAAACAAGAAGTTAGTCAGACACGGTGGTGCACACCTGTAGTCCCAGCTGCTTAGGAGGCTGAGGTGGGAGGGTCACATGAGCCCAAGAGGTTGAGGCTGTAGTGAGCTATGATTGTGCCACTGCGCCCAGCCTGGGTCACAGTTATTCTTTATGACTGGGGCCAGCTAACAACAGCCCCTGAACCATGTCTAGTCTCTGGCTGCTTCTGCATAAATAAAGTGTGACTGGCACGCAGCCGCTCCTCATGTTGTCAAATTGGCTGTGGCTACTGTTATCAGCTAAACAACATCCCCCTAAAATTGATATCCTGAAGCTCCAATTTCCAGGACCTCAGAATGTGGCTGTATTTGGAGACAGGGCTTTCAAAAAGGTGAGGACGGTAAAAGGAGGTCACTAGGGTGGACCCTAACCCAGTGGGACTGGTGTCTTATAAGAAGAGGAAATCAGGACACAGACACACCAGAGGATAGAGCACGTGAGGACATGGAAAAAAGACGGTCTCTATAAGCCAAGGAGAGAGGCCTTGCTAAGGAGCTAGGCCTGCCCACACCTTGATCTCAGACCTCCTGCCTCCATAACTGTGAGAGCAAATTCTTAAACCACCTGGTCTGTGGCCTTTTGTTACAGCAGCTGGGCTGACTCTCACAGCTGCTTTTGCACTATGACAGACTTGAGCAGCTGTGACAGAGACTGTATGACCCCAAAGTCTGAGACATTTACTGCCTGTCCCTATAAGAAAGTTTGCTCGCTCCTGGTTTATACTCATGAAAAAGCAGCAATAAGGCCGGGTGGCAGTGGCTCATACCTGTAATCCCAGCACTCTGGGAGGCTGAGGTGGGCAGATCATGAGGTCAGGAGTTCGAGACCAGCCTGGCCAATATGGTGAAACCCCATCTCTACTAAAAATACAAAAATTAGCCAGGCTTGGTGGCGTGTACCTATAGTCCCAGCTACTTAGGAAGCTGAGGCTGAAGAATCGCTTGAACCTGGGAGGTGGAGGTTGCAGTGAGACAAGATTGCACCACTGCTCTCCGGCCTGGGCAAGAGTGAGACTGGGTCTCAAAAAAGAAAAAAGAAAGAAAGAAAGGAAGAAAGAAAGAAAGCAGCAATACAGCCTGATTATCAAGCAATTAGCCATGGGTAACAGTTTCACAATACAGCGAGGAATTGAGCATGCTTCGTTGTATGTCTTTCGTAAAGATGCATTGGTGGAAAACCTGGGAAACAGAAGCAATGTGATCTTAGGTTAGCTGCCACTGAGTAAGGAGTTTTGTTTATGTAAAAAATAAGGAAACACCTGGTGGTCCTGCTTGGCTCAAGAAGCCTGATAGAGGATTCAAACAGCAATGGGACTTTTGGTGTTTCTTTCATGCTCTGAAAGTGTCATCTGGCTGGAAGAGAGGAAAAACATCTTTCTGTGTGTGGCAGATCCACCATCCCTGGAGATGGTAAGAGAGAAACTAGCATCCTAGCCAGCCATGCAGTGGCAGGGGGCCTGGTAACTCCAGGCAGGCATGGCAGCCGGTATTTTTATTCTTATCAAAATGCAGCCTTCCAACGCTCCTGTCTCCACAGATTGGGCTGTGGGTCAGGTTGGGGTAGTTGTTCCAGAATTTCAACTGGGGTGAACTGGCCACATGCACAGAGCAGGGGGGCCAGACTCTTCTTTTCTTTCCCCACAACTGTGGACCTTATCAACAGAAGGCTGCTGAGAGGTCTTTTCCTTTTATCTGAGGCAGGTGGCCTTTCCGTCACCCTACTGCAATAGAAACGTTGTTAACAATCTGTGAACCTTCCATTCAATGCTGGATCTGATTCTCCAGAGAATTTGTTAGCTGGTGCCTGTGGATAGTAACTTGCCATAGGCTTGACTTGGGGGGCAGCCGGCTGGCCCTCTACACATGAGAAAGTTGTGGAGTCGAGATGTACCAGATTAAGACACCAAAGTCATCGTCAATTCAATCTTCAAGGACTACTGGGCTACATGGCTGCTCCAAGGAAAACAACTTTCTTTCTTTCTTAAGACAGCGTCTTGCTCTGTCGCCCAGGCTGGAGTGTATTGGCGCTATCTCAGCTCACTGCAACCGCCACCTCCTGGGTTCAAGCTATTCTCTTGCCTCAGCCTCCAGAGTAGCTGGAATTATAGGTGCCCACCACCACGCCTGGCTAATTTTTGTATTTTTAGTAGAGACAGGGTTTCGCCATGTTGGCCAGACTGGTCTCAAACTCCTGACCTTAGGTGATCCCCCTGCCTTGGCCTCCCAAAGTGCTGGGATCACAGGCGTGAGCCACCACGCTTGGCCAGAAACAACTTTCAAATAAGGAAGAACACACACACACACACACACACACTACACCATGCACAGGTGCACACACACCCAGATACACATGCACAAGCATATGCAGATATATACATGTACAACATACATATACACACATGCATACTTGCACGTGCACGCACATACACACTATGCCATGTGTGGCACACATGCTTGCTCTGAACTTACACCTTGAGGTGGTGTCTCTACGGGTTTCTAGATCAGTATGTCTAAGTGGAGCAGGTTCTCTGGGTGGAAATTTGGGCTGTCTGACTTGCCACATACTCGTGGGCAATCACCTAACAGGGACTGATGTCCTAGGGTTTTGCAAAGACCAAATAAGTCTATGCACAGTGTCTGGGACCCAGTGCCCTTGGCAGCAACTGCGAATGAGATCAACGATTATACTCAACGTGGAAGGCTGGAGGCTGAGACTAAAGGTGTCCACGAATGAAACACTTTTGTGTATCACGGGCAACAATCATGTGTTAGAAGAGAGTTCTCAGGTTAGCAGCACAGCAACATTTCCCAAAGTTGAAGATGAGGGTAAAGAAGGTCAGGTCAGGTCAGGCTGGGCACGGTGGTTCACGCCTGTAATCCCAGCACTTTGGGAGGCTGAGGTGGGCGGATCATGAGGTCAGGAGTTCGAGACCAGCCTGGCCAAAGCAGTGAAAACCCGTCTCTACTAAAAATTAAAAAAATTAGCCAGGTGTGGTGGTGGGCGCCTGTAATTCCAGCTACTTGGGAGACTGAACCAGGAGAATTGCTTGAACCTGGGAGGTGAAGGTTGCAGTGAGCCAAGATCGCACCATCGCACTCCAGCCCAGCAACAGTGTGAGACTCTGTCTCAAAAAAAAAGAAGGTCAGGTTCAACAGTTGTGATGGAAAAAATGGAACGGGAAGTTCTTCCAGCCAAATCATAAGCAAACACTGGAGAGCAGCTTCTAAGACATTTATAGCAGGCAGATTCTAACAAGGCATTCGGATTTGCCTAGATTCAGAAGAAAACAATGGACCCAGAGAGACCCACCAAATTCCCAGAGCCCCCGCACTCACTGATATCATGTGCTCTGGTCTCTTCCCCATTCACCGGGGTCTGTGCATTCTTTGGTGGGTTTTGCTGGGAAACACCGGCTGTGGTTGAGGTGGCCGCCGAGGCTGCCGCACTGGCTTGCTGCTGAGCGAGCTTCTCTCGGAACGCCTGCTGCCGTGTCTGCACCACATCGGGCATCACAGCATCTATCAGCGACAGGGACTCTATGGGGCGGCCATCGAACACTGTGCCATCCTGGGGAAGCAAGCCAAGTGACAGTTGTCAGCTCACGTGGGTGAGGGCTCTGGGAACGGCCTCTGCTCTCTGGGCAGGAGAAATGCAGGAAAGTGGAGCATAAACAGCTGAGTCCCAGCAACCAGGGGGCTGAGGGGGAAGTGCATGGACCCAGAGGCTGAGAGCCTGGGGTGAAGAGATCCCACAGTGGGTGGGGGAACAGGGAAGGTGACATGGCAAACTGTCTGTAAGAACTAAGTATGACAGCTGTTCTGAGTGTCGAACCTGGGGGGGGGGGGTTACTGCAGACAAAAACGCCATTAATTCTTGACAGAAAGTGCTATCCCCGAGGCCATGATTCTCAACGGGGGGTGACTACCTCCTTGGGGGGCATTAGGCAACATCTGGAGACATTTTTGGCTGTTACAACTAAGGGAGGAGGGGTGCTCCTAGCATCTGGAGGATGCCCAGGACAGCCTCACCATGGAGACTCATCCAGCCCCAAATACTGTGTGCTGTGCTGGGGAAGCCCCGCCCAGGTGTTATCACCTATGTGCACCATCTCTGCAAATGACCAGCCATGATACGGGAGGGTAATGCTTCAGAAGCAGAGCCCTATGAGATGGCCGTGCCATTCAGGATTGGATTCTGGGTCCATCTGTCCATGGGATTTAATAAAATAGGCACTTGCTACTACTTGAAATGACTCCTTGGGTTCAGGGTTAGACCAACTATAGCCATAACACAATCGACATCATTTCAATTCACGATTTTTTGAACATCCTTTGATTCTCTGATTTCCATTTACCATAAAAAACTTTCCACACATATTTAAAAATACAGCAGGAAGTTCTTTCCTTGGGAAGCATGCCAGATACTGCATCAGGTGAACCTCACTATGCCTCGGGGTTGTATCTGGTGAAAGTGCAAATGCATTTTTATATGCTCTGAACCTGAATGACCTCCGAAATGAGGAAAAATGGAAAGGCTCAGGTTTCAGCTGAAGAATAGCTAAATAAAACATCACCCCAGATGATTTCTGATTACAAGACAATATTCAAAATAAAGAATACAACGTATGCAAAGAACTAGCTGCATCAACATCCTCAGCCACTCTTTGCCCTTGATTCTGGTCATGGAGTGGGCAATGGCGACCGACTGGTCAAGATGCTTCCACATCCCCTTCCTCCTTCCTATGTTCACACCCAAATGAACAAGCACATCACAAAACGAGGTAACTGTACAAGGTCGTAACAACACGTCCTCGTTTCACCTCCGAGGGAACATTCTCTCTCTCCTCTTTTCCTTAGAGACAAGGTCTCGCTCTGTCATCCAGGCTGGAGTGCAGGAGCACAGTCGCGGCTCACTGCAGCCTCAAACTCTTGGCCCAAACTGATCTTCCTGTGTTAGCCTCCGGAGTAGCTGGGATTACAAGCATGTGCCACTGCACCTGGCTTATTTTTTAATTTTTTGTAGAGACAGGGTCTTGTTATATTGCCCAGGCTGGTCTAGAACTCCTTGCCTCAGGCAACCCTCCAACCTTGGCCTCCCAAAGTGCTGGGATTACAGATGTGAGCCATTGCCCCTGGCGTGTCTCACTTTTTAATGATTAGAAACCACTGTGACAAATGGGATGGTCTCTCATTAGCCTCTGGAGTGCTGCAATATGGAGTGCCGAGGAAAGGAAACTACGAAGGTTTCCCGACAGATGAGAGGTAAAAGGCAATGAGCGGAGGAAAACAGTCACGGGTATCCTGTGATCTGAGGGCTGGCTGGACCTTGGGGACATGTCCTCTTAGCCACATACGTGTGTATTTTACAGATGAGGAAACTAGACAAGGCCAGAAGGAGTCAGTGGAAGATCCAGGGCACCAAGTGTGAAGAAGAGAAAGAGGAGATGGCCGGTTTGCCAGGGAAAAAGGAGCACAAGAGAGGAAAAAACACCAGAGCTTTCAAAGTCATGGCTTTCAGAAAATGGCAGGCAAAAATGCAAGAAGGAAAATAGGAGCTGGGCACAGCGGCTCATGCCTGTACTCCCAGCACTTTGGGAGGCCAAGGCGGGAGGATTGCTTGAGCCCAAGAGTTAAAGACCAGTGAGACCTCATCTCTATAAAAAATAAAATATTATCCTGGCATGGTGGTGTGTGCCTGTTAAGTCCAAGCTGCTCAGGAGGCTGAGGCAGGAGGATCATTTGAGCCAGGAGTTTGAGGCTGCAGTGAGCTATGATTGTACCACTGCACTCCCACCTGGGTGACAGAAAGAGACCCTGTCTCAAAAAAAAAGAAAGAAAGAAAAGAAAAAGAAAACAGAATATATTACTATCTAAGAGTTTTTTAAAAGGTAAAGAGAAAGCAGTGTGACATGCTGTGAAGGAGAAAGGTTTGGAAGGGCGAGAGCAGTTCCCAGGAAGACGGGACAGAGGGAATCCTGGAAGAATGTGACTGCCAGGTGGGATGGATTATGGTACACTATGGAAAACTTAGGTAGAATCACGTTCCTTGGTCAGAACAGGAGAAAGAGGGGCAGAGGGAGGAAGCTGGGGGGATTGAGCAATCGGTAACAGGGACTTTCTTTGGTCCCAGTGCTTTGGGAGTCTGAGCAGGAGGATCACTTGAGCCCAGAAGGTCAAGGCTGCAGTAAGCCATGATTGTGCCACTGCACTCTGGCCTGGGTAATAGTGTGAGACTCAGTCTCTAAAAATAAAATGAGAGAGACTCAGGTGAAGGTGGCAGGAAAGGCTGTGGATCCCAGAAGTCCCCAGAAGTCAAGCGGATCTTCACTGCAGAATCATGAGACCAGAATAGGAGGGGACAAGAGAGAATAAGGTATGTGGTTTAAAACCAAAATTGGTATAAAACTGGCACAACTTCTCACTGTGGGCCAATCTAAAAAGAAGGAGGGGATCCAAGCCAAGTGAATAATTTTAATGTGTGTTTATTTTCCCATCCCCTTACCCCATCTGTTCTGCAACGAGCCCGGTAATGAAAGCATCCCCTGAGATCCTCGTTAACACAAGAGCCATTGCCTCTCTGCCCTGATGCAGCCTCTGGTGATGCTCTCTGTCAGGTTCCCCCAAAATACAGATTCCACCTGACCACGTGTGGGGCCTCTCTCTAGCCAATCTGCTCTAGGAAATCAAGGAGAGCAAATCTGCTAAGTGCAAGGCAAACGTCCACTCTGAAGCCCAGAGCAGCTGAAGATCCGCTGCATCTTTTTCAGATGCAGCAGTGTCATTGTTTACATGAGTCAAGAGCCAACGATTCTATATTTAACTAAAAAACACAGAACCATGTGGGAGGGGCACTGGAAGCTTGCTACTGTGTCATCCCTGATCAATAAGGTATTAACACAAAGTGGAAAAAAACCCAACTTCCTTTCTTCTTTTTTAAATTTTATTTTAGAGATAAGAGTCTCACTGTGTAGCCCAGGCTGGAGTGTAGTGGCACAATTATAGCTCACTGAAGCCTCAACCTCTCGGGCTTGAGTGATCTGATCCTCTCAGCTCAGCCTTCCAAGAGCTGGGGCTACAGGTGTGTACCACCACACTGAGCTAATTTTAAACTTTTTGTAGAAATGCTGTTTCACCATGTTGTCCAGGCTGGTCTCAAACTCCTGGGCCCAAGTGGACCTCCTGCCTCAGCCTCCCAAAGTCCTGGTATTATAGGCCTAAGCCACTGTACCCTGCCACTGAATTAATCCCAAATGCCTGAGGGATATGCATGTTAGTTTCCAATGTGTTTCAAGCTTTTGCAGCTTCCCAGGGCTCTACTGTTTGGGGACCGAGCCCGGCAGCTACATACCTCATTGATACTGATCTCGGCCTCTACATACTGCAGGCCCTTCTGGAGAATGGAGATGAGGGCAGCCGGCGGCACTAGTGTCCCATTGATGTTGGACTGGCTGATGTGGCTCTCGATCCCGAATGTGAAAGCCGAGTGGGAAAAACCTGCAGCAAGAGGGGAAAGCCGAGGTTGAATGAGACCCAAACTGACCGAGGGAGGTGCAGCCATTGAGATCTGAGGGTGGCCTGCGGATTTCAAACACACTTAGTTTATGGGGGCAGACACGGCTGTAGAATGCCCAGAGATGCTTCTGATTTGGGTTCAATAAGGTAGGAAAGGGCAGAGGAAGAAGGAGGGATTTCAGACCCAGGAAGACCAGGTTGGTATGTGATGAAACAAGGGCCTTTAATGGTAGACCCATTTCAGTGTTATTAATAATAAAACAGAACAGACAATAGAGTTTGCCCTGCGTGCCCCGGTTGGACATATCTGTTACTGAAATTTGGCTCCAGGCTCCCCGCAACTCTGCGGTTCATATGACTCTACAGAAGCTCATGCCGAAGACTCTCCGTGTCACCCCCTGCAAGCATACAGGGCACCTTTCTTCAGCCCAAGATGAGGGAACAGCAAACGCTGACCCTGAGTGCTCCTAGCACGTGGGGCAAGTGCATCACAACCCAACATCTGAAGACGGAGAAGAGGCCAATCTCGACTGACTGGTGTGGTACTGTCATTTTCTCCAAACACTGGGAATTTTCTCCTGGCTAATAGATGTTGGCTCTTTTCCTTTCCTCCCCGACTGCATCTCCTTCACTCCTGCTGTAGGAAGCTGCTGATCAATGATGCCTGGCAATTTAAAGGTGTTTTCAGATCAGCTTTGGATGAAGGCTCTTGAATGAAGCTGTTGGGAAGGGGATCAGGACTGAATACACAGAAAGCCATGCCTTGCTCTTGTGGATGATGCCTGCTTCAAGGAAAGAAGGCAACGACACTGGGCATGTATGTGGAGGTCGGCCGGGTGATGGGGAAGCTGCAACAGCCCTTCCTCAAGGAGAGGGAGGGAGGCGGCATCCTACTGCCAGCAAGTCTAGGCTGCTGCAGGGAGTTTCCTAAAACAGGAAACCCCGCCTGGCAGGGCTGGGTCACTTTGCTTGGTGCAGAGGCGGACTGGGGGTGTATAGGAGCTTGAAATCCTTGAGAGTTGGAGGAACATGGACCCCCATGCTTGTCTCCCTGGCAACAGGTGGGACAGACACCAAGGCATTCCCATAGTGTGTCTTTCAACTCTCACATTGTTTACATCCTCCACGGATGAGGCAAATGAGCAGGAAGCAGGGAGTTCTGAAAGTGGCCACTGTACCTCCCTGGTTAGGCCACTCTGCAGGCTGAGGATCTGGTTATCCCAGGAGATGGGACTGTCAGCCTCGCTGGGCGTGTGTTCCTCTTCGTCATCTTTCATTCAGCCAAAGGGGGGCAGTGGCAGCCGGCTTCCCTCCGCTTCCACATCAGTGGCCTTCTGTCTCTCCTTATCCAAATACGAACTGACCTTGCATAAACAAAATGCTCGCCAGATGGGAATGTTCATTCCTCCAGGAGAGGAGCTCTGCGCTTTGCTCTCCTTGCTGCTTTCTGATATTTCACTTTTCTCTGTCTACTCCCTCCTCTTCAATCCACCCTCTATTCTGTCCCCATCTCCAGGTTGTAAAGAACATATTGAATGTGTGGTTGAGATTTATCTAATAGAGTACTAGGGTAGCTGCTATTAATTTTACAATCCATTGCACAGAGCCTTGTATATTTCTTTACGAAACTAACCGCCTACATTAGGTTGCAAAGGAGCCCTTTCCAGGTTCCCCTATCCCCAAGGGTTCCTCCACCCCTGTGTTTTTGGAGGATATAAGCCAAGGTTCTTTACAACAACCTTATCTTTTCCTTCTAACTTGTTTTCTCTCTATCTACCTTCCTTTTCCCCTACCCACTCCTACCAAAATGAAGCAACCCACCCTTGGATTCACCAATGACTCTATTTTCCGCCATGTTATACACAGTTTTACCTGCAAGCTTTTATCATTGAGATCTTTGGCGAAGTGTGGAATAGAAAAACCTCAGTCAATGAATAAAGCAGGACCTCACTGCATTCTTGGCCCAACGCTCTATTGCATGGACTCTTCCTTATCTACTCCAGGCCACGGTGATTCCTCTCTCATAGACACCATGACCCTCATGGCTGGTAGGAGCCACTCACCTGGCTCCTACTCAATGGCTTTAAGTCTCTCAACATCATTCTGTCACTGTCCTTTTTCCTTGATGAATCAGGTCTCTGAGATCTTTTGAGCGTAACTGACAGGTTCTGATTGCTCAGTTTGTAGGGGTGGGGCTGAGAACCAAGCCTCGGCAGCCAGAAACTATTCTTAGCCACCATGAAACCGCATCTAGAAACATCTATCGAATGCACCAGAAACCAGCATTAGGTGCTGATGAGGGTTCCTGACAAGCAAACCTCATGGCTGATGGAGCAATTGTGGAAGGAGAGTCTCATGCTCCTGGCATATTTTATTCATCTACTCTCACTCATTCATTCCCACAAGCAGCACTGGGCCACAGAACTGATACCTGCAGTCATACGCTCTGTGAAACAGAGCCGATTCTGACCACATTACCACCTTCAACCAAACCTGGGCACTCTGTCCACTACCTCAGCCTCTGTAGCGGCTGTTCAGAGTGGGTACTGTTTTTGTTTCACATATGAGGACAAACACTGGAGACATCAGGTAACCCGCCCACGGTTTATGTGATAAGAGGCTGAACTAAACTGTGAACCATAGACCATCTGACTTTGAAATTCCGCTTTTTACTTTATCCTCCAAGACCCAAAGGCACAGAAACCAAAATTCTTGAATTATCTGCGTGGACATGGACTCCATTTCCAACTGGCTACTTAGCTAGACCACTGGCAGCTCTGAACAACAGCCAGCTTGGGTGCAGCTCAGGCAACTCACAAAGAATGGTATGCAAAGCTCAGTCTAACCCACGGCAGGAGTGTGCCCTTGATTTCTCTCTCATCTGTTAAGAACACGGTTTGGCTTTAGAGAAATGCATAACTTCATTTCTCTATATGACTATGCTCTCCAACATCGATTTCGTTTCTAGACCATGTGGACAATGGTATTTACATTCAATTAAGACTTCTTGGAACAAGGAGATGAACTAGTAAAGATGGATGAAGGGTGCGGAGTCTCAGACTTCTGCAGAGAGCTGAAAGTTGTCTACTGGAAGGCATATCCTACGCAGATGCACAATGACAAAAGTGCAGAACAGTTCTACAGGGGTACCTTGAAGGTCTTTCATTAGCTTGGGTCCTCTTATGGAAAGGGTAGGCTGTCACAGCTGGAAGTTAGGCACTTGCATAAAGACCTGGGAGATGTACATTCCATACCGTGGTTAACAGAAGTCTTCCTATTTGCTAAATTTTTCACTAGCTGCATTTCTTTGAATGGATCTCTACATGGGCTCTAGAGCAACGGTTTTTCAGTCCACTTCCTCTAAGATTTTCTTACTGATTTCTGATCATGTGATCTCATGAAGGCAAGGAGGAGGGCTGGCTTCTGTCCTCCATCCACCACTGGGTGTCTGGCCCATGCCACTTTATTTGGCTGGACCTGCATTTCCTCCTTTGCGGTATGGGGATAAAAAGTACCTTGAAGTGCTGATGAGACACATAGATGGGACAGCAGCCAGATCCCTGACAGGTTTGAAGGAGAGAAGACCACAGTGAGTCAAAAGGTCACTGTCCCAGCTTTCCCTGTTGGAACAATGAGGATGGCAGATGAAATGGCTATTAGGATAGTTTCTAGTTCTGATATTCGTTCTGGGACAGGAAGATGTGTGCTATGTTCTGAATGTTTGTGTCCCCCCCAGATTGGTATGTGGGAGACAAATCCCCAAAGTGATGGTGTTAAGAGGTGAGGCCTTCGTGAAGTGATTAAGTCATGATGGCTCCACTCTCGTGAATGGCACTAGTGCCCCTCTAAAAGAGGCTCAAGCAAGCTACCCCATCCGTTTTACCATGTGAAAGCACAGAAGGAGCCATCCATGAGGAACACGACTTCACTGGATACCAAATCTGCTGGCATCTTGATCTTGGACTTCCCAGCCTCCAGAACTGTGAGCAATACATTTCAGTTGTGTATAAATTACCCAGTCTAAAGTACTGGTTACAGCCCACACAAACTAATCCAATGCCCAAGGACTATGTAATATAGGCTGCTTGACCACTTCCTCTTAGGCCTGACCACTTCCTCCTAGGCCGCAGTTGCTGGAACCAGGTGCCAGGATGCTGTGGAAGGTAATGTCTTAGAAAACATGGCACCTCCAGGGAAGATGCTTCTCTTCTAGGGCCATCCCTGCCTCCACACCTGCCAGCATCCCACCCCTCCCACCTGGACTCCAGGGCTAATGGGTGCATTCATTTGCAGTCTGCCAGAGTGGCAAGACTTCAGTGCCTTGTGCCTCCTCAGCTTTCCTGCATCTCTGAACACATCTCTTCTACCCAACAAGACATCTGTAGGAACAAAGACCAGAATGTCAATGATAAACGAAGCACCCAGGGCTGCCCCAGCAGCAGGTGCAGAAGTAGCTAACGGGCAGGAGAATAAAGAGCTTGGTGGTACCTCAATGAAAGATTGTGTGAGGGTGATGGGTTAGTGTCCTTGGTGTCATCAGTAGGCTAGCCTAGAGACATTCCTGAAGACAGCAGGCTTGCCACTTACTTAGGAGGTATATCCCTGATGAATCTCTTGACAGCAGGGTTTCTCAACCACAGTATGGCTGACTTTTAGGCTGAATCCTTCTTTGCTGTGGGGGACACAGTCCCATACATTGTACGATGTTGAAAAGCACCCCTGGCCTCTACCCACAAGATGTCAGTAGCACACTCCCATTGTAACAACCAAAAATGTTTCCAGATATACTCCCATCAACCCTACCACGGTTGAGGAATTGGCACCCTGAAAGTCTACCACCCCCAGCTCTACTCTCCTCAAGTTTCTGCTTGATTCTTGGTTGTTGCTATTGAAAAAGCAAGCTACTCTCTACATGCAATTGGTCATAGACCTTAGATAACACACAGTAACAGAGAATAATCAGATGAAATAAAATTATTCCC